GTTAAAGGACACTATAGTTAATCTTATATGACTTTTAAGCGTAGTATTTGCTTGCGCATGCGCGTTAGTGCTCGCTTTACGAACACGTTTTAGATTCGGAACATTCATATAAAACGACCGTTTTGGACCATAGTTTTGGGACTTTATGTTAGTTATGTCTTGTATTAAGATGTCAAATATATTCATATAAACAATCCACAGTGATGCGGCAAAATTAAAATATGGGTAGCCTCGCAGTAGCTCGGAAGAGTGATTTTCATTGGCTCAATTTGACAATTGCTTTTGTGTTTACAACAATGAATTGCTTCGTTCTTTAGAAAACCCCCATCCAATTGGAGACAACCTTCCGAGGCACTGCAAGGCTTCCCTAAAATATAGTTGTACAAAACTTTCAAGATTTTGGTTTCATTTAAAGGATATTGACTTTGGTAAATTCTTTCAATCCATAAGTGGGTAGATGCTGTTCTTGACAATAGAAATCAATGTAGTACCAATGAGCTAGTTCAATTTGAAAGAATACTCGGACCATGTCCTCTTGCTCTTCTGTAGGCAAATTGATCAAGAATCGACTAGCAAAACAATGACATGAAAATAAGGCTTAATTAGTAGAATGTCAGGTGGAATGTTCTGGAGTTATCCAATGCGAGGTTGTGTCATTGTTGGCACATTGGAGTAACTTTGGCTAAGTTGGCAGCTTGCTGGCACAATACAAAACTTTAAAAGCAGTAGCATTGATATCAATCAGTAAACAAAATCAGTTGTGTAGCTTTCCCCTATTTTTTAAATTAAGCTTCAAAAAAAATATGATTGATTTTTACTTTAAAATAGTACGGCCAGCCACCCTGGCTTATTAAGCTGTGAAATATGTGATTTCAAATGTTAGGCCATATAAAATAAATTCCTTGATTCTCATCACCGCCCGACGATATTTTGGTTTCCGTGTTGGTATATTTTTGTATTTTGTTATAAAATATAAATTTACCGCCTGACCAAGCATCTTCAGAGATTTATTATTATTATTATTATTATTATTAATTATTATTATTATTATTAAATTTGTCACAAATGTGAAAACATTACAACAATATAACACTACAGTATATGACATGTGTGACAGGAACAAGGAACAGAATTTTCATCCCAATTATTACCTCATCCCTTTGTTAACTAAGTACTAACATATAGCTATACTATACTAAACGTCACTTAACAAATATTTTCTGAAATAATCTTGATTATGCTTTATTATAAGGTGAAAGTCATTTTCATCGTAGTTACGCGACTTGTATCCAGGGTTAAATGTACATATATACTTAGTTAAACCATTCCTATGAGATCGTATTTAGCCTTAAATAGAAGTAATAGATCAGAAATCTCTCTTCGGAATTCCAATGGCAGCAAGCTTGTTTTCTGGAGCTGTTCTTTGTAACACATACCTTTAGGATAATTTAAAATTAATCTTGTAGCGCGACGTTGCACATTTTCAATTAAAAGTTTATGTTTGATGGTGTATGGAGACCAAACGTTACTCGCATATTCCAGCTTTGGTCTTACTAGCGCGCAGTATAGGGTCCTTCTCGTCTTGACGTTTTCCACTTCTTTGCAAATACGTTTAATCAAACCAAGAGTTTTGTTTGCCTTAGAAACAATGCTGTTAATGTGTTGGGACCATGATAAATCTTTCGACACTACAACTCCAAGATCCTTAAAATTCGTCACTTGCTCAATAATGTGTCCATTGATGCTGTAGTTGGTTTGAGCGGGCGTATTCTTTCTGGAGATCCGCATGGCTTTACATTTTGTATTGTTCAATTCCATTTGATTGTCGGTGGTCCAGGTTATTAGGTTGTCAAGATCATGCTGAAGAAGGTGAGTTGAGTCAGATTGTACGAGAGGTAGGTAGAGTTTGGAGTCATCTGCAAATAATGCGAGCTTCGACTTTTGGATGTATGATTGGATATCGTTGCAATACACCAGATTTAGTTATTTTTATATTTTATATTGGAATGTTTGCGATATAAAATTGTTTTACCGTTAACATTGCAACATGTTAAGGGATGCTTGGAATACTGAAGGAAAAAATGGGCTTATAGCCTTATTACAACGATTTGTGTGGACCCTTATGCATGTTCATTAGCGCATGTGCAATTATCCACTTATATAG